ACTCACTAATACAAAGCAAGGTAGATATGCTGCAGATCTGCTGCTGATCCAGATTCTGTTCTCCTTAAGGCCAATGGTACCAACTGTAAGCTTCTTTCTGCTGCCTCACCTGGTCTGCTCACCTCACCCCAAGAGATCGAGACCCTCTATCTCGACCTTTGTCTCTTCTCTTAAGCAGTCACTTACAGAGACAAGAAGCCACACCCCACAGCTTGTACCCCAAAGCTATTGGCAGAACAAATTACCACAATATAAGTCATTTGAAAGCCCTTCTAAGGGAGACTTGCACTTGGAGACAGAGCTTGGTAAGTTGGTGGGTGGTCTGAGTTCTGCTTGAGTCAAGACTGTGAGAGTCAGCTTTGAGCTCAGAAGATGTCAGCAGAACTGGTGCAGGGAAGTAAAAGCCAAACAGAGCAGCTTTACTAGGAATATGCAGATGAAGTGAAATTCAATTAAATGCTGGCAGAAGGGCAATCCATTGCTCCACTGAGTCAGAAATCATCCCCAAAACTGGTGATTTATTCTCTGCTAACTGGGATGGGCACCTAGCATACAGTGGATTTTTATTAAAATATGAATGTCACCTCAAGCTCTTACTGGAAGCCCAAGGAGTATTGTGAAGCTATGTAAGTCATGTGCCATACTGCCGTGGTGAGGTCCCTTTTGCTCAACTAGAAAGGAGGCTTTTGTATGAGGTATTTATGGGCTGAGGATTGGCACTTGATTGTTAGAGGGCTTGTCTAGTATTCATGAGGCCTTGGGTTCAATTCCTAGCATTAAGCAAACTGGACATTGTAGTGCATGCCTGTAACTCCAGCACTCTGGATGTAGAAGCAGGAGGATTAGGAGTTTAAGGTTATTTCTTGGCTGCATAGACTCTGAGGCCAGCCTGAGATATTGACAGATACAGTCTTTCATCTGTATCTCCATCTCGACAAAACAATCCATGAACTTCTTTAACCACATACTGCTTTTTAAAATATGCATATACACACTGTTATATATTATTTATAGTATATTAATTATATTTTTATTTTTTAGGAGTATTCTCTAATACTGACATGTATACCACTATATTATATAATATTTATATTATATTAATTATATTTTTAGTTTTTTAGGAGTGTTCCCTGATACTGACACTTATATACCCTGTATTATATATTATTTATATTATATTAATTATACTTTTTAGTTTTTTAGGAGTGCTCTCTAATACTGACATGCTACCAAAAGCAACTCTCCAAAACATAGAGGGAAAGAAGAGGTAAGGGAGAGCAATGGAGGAGGAAGAGGCAGGGAAGGGATAAAAAGGAAAGGGGGAGGGAAGGAGGGAGGGGAAGAAGGAGGGAGAGAAGGAGGGAGGGAGAAGGAAAAGAGAAAAACCAAAGGAAAAGACAAGGAGGAGGAAGAGGGAGGTTTTATCAGGTCATGGGGTGGGTATATTTCTACTAAACTTGACTGAGAGACTTTGAGGACTTTAAGGAGAGAAAAGAGGTTAAATGCTCTTTCCTTACTTCACCTAGTGTCCGGTTCAATTTCAGGTAAATTAAGGGACTGATGGAGCTGAGATGGCACGGTCATGACATCTTCAGTCTATACTACTCTGAGGACTGTTTACTTTAACCAATGAGCCTGTGAAACATCCTCTATGTGCTTTGATGTTTACCCATTGATGTTCCTGAGGAAACTGGATTCAAAGTACAATTTTTCCAAAGTCAGATAACTAGGAGTTTTCCAAGTTTGGTAACTCTGCTTGGGTGACTCTATGGTTTATTAAATACCCAGTATGCTTTCATTTCTTTTATTTATTTTTGCTATCCTATTAAAAACAGGAGGGACTGAGATGGTCAAACGGAGGGAGGGACAGAGAGGGAGAGCAATGAAAAAGATATCTTGGTATAGGGAATGATTAGGGTGTTAGGGAGAAACCTGATGATAGGGAAATCCCCATGAATCCACAAGGATGAGACTAGCTAAGACTCCTAGCAAAATGGAGAGGGGGCCTAAACCTTTCCGTATAATCAGATTATTGACTACTCTAATTGTCATCATAGAACCTACATTCAGCAACTAATGGAAGCCGATGCAGTGATCCACAACCAAGCACGGGGCTGATCTCCTAGACTTCAGCTGAAGAGAGGGAGGTGGAATCACAGAAGCAAGTGAGGTCAAGATCATCACGGGAAAAACCACAGAGACAGCTGACCCAAGCTGGTGGGAGCTTATGGACTCTGGCCTGTCAGCTGGGGAACGTGCATGGGACCAAACTAGGCCCTCTGAATGTGGGTGACTGCAGCAGGAAACTTAACAGGTCTTATTAATAAAAACAAACCCAGGGCCAGGTATTGGGGTGAATGCTGGAAGATCAGAGAAGCAGAACAAGCCACAGCTACCTCACCTCACCAATTCCTCAGCTGATCCTGTTTCCTCAGACTGGAAGCCTCTGAGTCCTCATCCAGAATGAATCTCAGCTAAACTGTTGTCCAAAAGCCTCAAAGCTTAACCAGTCTCTAGTTCCTGGTCCTCATGCCTTATATACCTTTCTGTTTTCTGCCATCACTTCCTGGGATTAAAGGCTCACTTCCTGGGATTAAAGGCATGAGTCACCATGCCTGGCTATTTAGTTTATTAGGGTGCACAATATTTTGGGGAACACATTATCACCACAGGTGACAGTTATGTGGCTAAATCTGTTTGGATAACCTCTAGCAGTGGGACCAGGACTTATCAGGGATACATATAATGGCTTTTTGGAATACATTTTGTAGGGTGGGATACCTTGCTTAGCCTTGACGCAGAGAGGAGGGGCTTGGTCCTGCCTCAACTTAGTATGCCAGACCTTGTTGACTCCCCAAGGGAGGCCTTACCCTACCTGAGAAGTGGATGGGAATGGGACCGGGAGAGGCGGGGAGGCAGGAGAAGGGGAAGGAGGGGGAACTGGGTTTGGTATGTAAAATGAAAAAAAAAGTTAAATAAATAAATTTTTTAAAATATTGATATGGTGGTGAAAACTTCTCATTCCAGACCTTGGGAAACTGAGGCAGAAGGACCATGAGTTCAAGGCTAGCCTGTGCTATACATTAAATATAAATGGTAAAAAATAGAAACGGATAGACATACAGACAGACAGATGATAGATAAAAAGCTAGATGATAGATAGATAGATGATATATATAATATATATGATAGATAGATAGATAGATAGATAGATAGATAGATAGATAGATAGATAGATAGATAAGTGCAGATGATAGAAAGGATAAACAGGCATATGCACAGCAAACAAACTCTCCCTGGAATGGGGCACTTAGCCCCCAGGATTTGAGAACTGAGGACCAGTGTATTTTACTAAAATACTAAAAGAAGATAGTTGGTAAGAAGATAAATAGATTATAAGTATATATTGATAAATAGATTGATACGTAGGCAATTGAGATAGATGATAAAATCAAAATTAAAAGATGCTAAATTAGAATCTTTCTTAGTCCTATAACTATATATTTTAAAAACAAATTTAGAATGATGTTCATATTTACATCATCCTAAACTTCTCCCCTTAAGTTTTGTCAATACAGAGAATTCTTTTCAGTTATCAACTGGAATAGTGCTGTGCCATGCAAACCACAAAGCTGGTCTCAAATATGCACATAAGGAGGGATGATTCCCTGAATAGTTGTGACTCAGGGTAACCATTACAGTGAACAACACACATTTCTGTGCAACCACGCAGTCTTTTCCTGAGAAGGACAGATGCCCCTGTGACTTGGTTGATTTCCTGTGGCAGCCTGTGTGTCATTTGTGGCCCTGCATCTTTTGCAAATTATCCGATCATGTCAGAGGTAGTTTAGAGTGTTCTCCAAACTCAGACAGTTAAGGGTAAATATCAAGTTAGTATGTTCTGAAAGGTTGCCCAGCTGAGGGCCAAATGTATTCAGCCAGAACTAATTGAAGTTTTGTGGAATACTTTCTAGCTTATGTTGAAGAAAATTGTCAAATATAGCAATGTGTTAAGTAGATGTCTTATTTAAAGTTGACAACTATTTTTTCATTGTGGATTGTAAACTTACCTGACTAAAAATCATAACTGTAACAAGCCACAAAAACTGTATTTTAACTTATCCAATTTCTCAGGACTGAGGTTGTCTTAGTTTTTTTCTATTGCTATAATAAAACACCATGACCAAAGGCAACTTGGGCAGGAAAGGATTTATTTCAGCTTTACACTTTCTGGTAATACTCCATCACTGAGGGAAGTCAGGGTCAGAACCAGGAGTCAGGAACTGAAGCAGAAGCCATGAAGGAATCCTACTAACTGACTTGCTCCCTATGGCTTTCTCAGTCTGTTTTCTTATATACCCCAGGACCACCTTTCCAGGTGGGGTACCACCCATTGAGAGCTGAGCTCTTCCATATCAATCTTCAATCAAGAAAGTGCTATAGACTTACCCACAGGCCAGTCTATTGGGGGAATTACCTCAACTGAAGGTCTCTCTTCCCAAATGACTCTAGCTTACGTCAAGTTGACATAAAACTAGCAACACAACTGACCCCTTAGGAACTTGACACACAACATTTATGTTAAACTATAGTCTTTCTCTTTTTGTTCATACCCAGTATCTCATATTGATATTACAATATAAAACATAAATAACTTTAAAAGTCCCACAATCTTTAAAAACTTAGTCTTTTGTAGACACACTGAGTCTCTTTCACTGTTCAAAGCCCCTCCAAAATATCCCAAACATCTCTAAAATATTCAGTCTCTCTGAAACTACAATTTTTCTCCAAAACTCCCAAGGATCTTTAAAATTTCAGTCCCTAAAATATCCATAACCTCTCTAAAGCATCAACATCTCTTTAAAAGTCCACAGTGTCTCAACTGTGGGCTTCTGTAAAAATCAGAAGGAAGCTCAGTGCTTTCTCAATCCACAAAGAGAGAACCAGGGCACAGTCACAATCTGAACAAAGCAAAAGCAAAGAGCAACAGTGAAACATACCCAGTGCTTGGAATCTGGGACCCACTCACGATCCTCTGGGCTCCAAGGGGCTGGGACAGCTGTGCTTGTCCCATTCTGCCATTCTTGGCTCATACAGCTTTTTTTCACAGGCTCAAGATAGCTTCACTTTACACATGCTGCCGTCCTTGGTGATCCATGGTACTAGCCTCTCCAAAATTCAGTGCTCTCCACTGCACCGGGACTCTACTTCCCACCAACTGCTTCTCCTGAGCTCTCAGCAAGGACTCTAACCCTGCTACAGAGCACCACACTTCTACTTTTTCCCATGACCCCTTAAGTTGGCACTGGGAGTTTGTCTCTCTAAAAGAGTAGTGAGCTCCCTTAACAACTGAATCATCTCTCAATCCCCTGGTTTAGTTCTTTGTATACACCACATATAAATGTCAATAAACATACAGTGCTTTAGTCTCTCTGAGCCTGTTTATTTCACTGAACATAATCCCCACCCCACCCCAAGCTCATCTGCATTGTCACAAATTCTAAGATGTCCTTCTTTATTACGGATTAATGGGACCCTACTGTGTATATACTAATGTTTTCTTTGTTCATCTGATGGGGAACACTCAGACCGATTCCATCTCTGCTCTGTTTCAAATAATGCTGCGTGACTATGGGAATGCAGATAGATATCTCTGACATGCTCATTTTGTTTCCTTGGATATACACCCAGGGATGCAATTTCTGAATCATAGTACTTCTAATTTTAGTTCTGTTTTTTTTTTTTTGAGAAACCTCCACATTGTTTTCTATAATAGTGTATTAACCAACATGCATACTAACAGCATGCAGAGATTGATTTTCTATACATTCACCCTGGAACTTGTAATCCTTTGTCCTTCTGATGATAGTCATCCCAATAGGTGAAGATGATACTTTATTGAGGTTTTATTTGCCCTAGTGATGAATGATTAGCATTTTTCCTGGTTATACTCACTTTATGTCACTGTTTGAGAACTATGTATTTAGGTTCCTTGCTAATTTTTAAGTTTTTTTTTAATTTTTATTTTTATTTTGCAATACAATTCAGTTCTACATATCAGCCACGGATTCCCTTGTTCTCCCCCCTCCGACCCCCCTCACCTTCCCCCCAACCCACCCCCCATTCCCACCTCCTCCAGTTTTTTGACTAAAGATTCACTTACTTCTAATTTTTTTTGTGTGAGTGTGTGTATGCAGTAATGTATGTACAGTGTGCACAGAGATATGAAGAGGTCCTTGGACCTTGGAGCTTAGTTAGTGACAGCTGTGAACTACTCACTGTGAATGCTGGAAACCAAATCCAGGTCCTCTAAAATTGCAGCAAATGTTAAAACAAACAAACAAACAAAAATAAGTTATTTATCCAGCCCCTTTCCTTATTTTAAACTGGTTTATATTCTCTCCATTGAGTTACTTGAGGTTTTAATATATATTTTGGATTTTACTTTCTTACCATCTTTGTAGTTTATAAATATTTCTTACTATTCTGTGCTCACTTCTTCACTTTTTAGATCATTTTGTTTGCTGTGGCAATTTCATTCATCCCATTTGTTTATTTTTATCTTTGGTGCCTGTACTATTGACTTCTTATTCTGCCACCCCCCAAAAAAAGATACCATGGAAATTTTTCCCTGTTTTCTTCTAGGGCCTTTAATGGTTTCAGGTCATGGACATAAGTCTTTAATTTTCTTATTGCAGTCTTTCCTAGGGGTATCCAGATGTTCTGACACTCACTCTCTGAAAAGACTCTTCTTTACCATTGTAGTCTAGGCCCCTGTCCTGAAAACTGAGTATATTTATGTGGACATTTTTCTCTCTTCTGGTTCACTGAGTTATCTGCTTTCTGTTAGCTCCAGGACGCTGCAGTTTCTAAAACTTTGTGTGTTTGAAAACTGTGCCTCATGTTACCTAAGTCATTCTTTTTTGTCACACGTTACTTTGGTTAATCTGAGTCTTTTATATAAGGTTCCTTACAAACTTTAAGATTTACTTTTCTTCCGAAAAAATACATTTGTGGTAGTTTGAGTGAGAAATGACCCTCATGGGCTCATTTGTTTGAACGCATGGTCCCTGGTTGGTGGCATCATTTGGAGAGGTGCTTGAGGACTGATAGCTTGGACCCACTTCCTGCTCAGGCACTGACCATGTCTCCCCTTGTCCCTCTCCATACTCTTGTCTTCCTGTGAGTGGAGAAATTTAACTAGCCAGCTTCTTCCTGTGGCTGGCATGATACACCTCCCTGCCGTGGTGAACTGTATAGCTCTCTAGAACAGTAAGCCAAAATAAACTCATCCTTCCCTAGTTGTTTTAGCTCAGTGTTTATTATAGCAACAGAAAGTAAGTAATGTACTTTCATGAGCATTTTGTTGGACTTATAGTTACTCTCTAGGTTTCTTTGGATGATATGGCGTTTTAGAAACATTAGATCTTCAAAGCTGAATTTTTGACATGTCCTCTGTTCCACTCACTGTTCTGTGAGACGCAGGGCACAGCTATCTCACATGGTTAAACTTATTTATTCTACCCTGTGGTTAGTTATCATAAAGATGAATGTTTTCTTGATATCCTTTTCAGATAGATCATTACTAGAGTATAGGTATTTCACTAATATTAATGTTATAACCTACAATAGCTTTCTTAATTTTATTAGTTCTAATGTATTTTTGATGTGATATGTATAGTTTCTCTGTTTTTTAAATTTTTATTTTAACTTTAAATCCATGTATAAATGCCTGTATGCATATCATGTGTGTATAGGTACATGTGGAGGTAAGAAGAGGATGTCAGATCCCAGGGCCTGGAGTTATAGATGCTTTGTAGCTTCTTGACATGGGTGCTGGGCACTGAACTTGTGTCCTCTGGAAGAGCAGCAAGTACTCTTAACCACTGAGCCTGTGCTCCAAAATTATATTTTGACTTAATTGTTTATTGGCTTTGTCTGTGTAATGTAATGTCCCCAGCATACAAAGACAATGCATTTTCTTCTCTCTAGACACCTGCAAGGCCAATTCCTACTTCACATTCTCTTGTCTCCTTTATCTAGAACTCTCCATAGCATATGGTATTTACCTGACACTTCTCTTTTTGCATAGACTCTTCTGAACCAGTCAAAAAAAAAAACTTTTTATCTAGTCAGTTTCATTCCTTATAGATTTCTGCTACCAATTCCTATTTAGTCACTCAATAATGCACCTTAATTCTCTATAATAATCATACCAAATTAATGTTTTATGATCTAGTATTTATCTCATGATCTGGTCCTAATCTGTTAGACCTGAACACATTAGCAGCATCACTCTGATTAGTGGGTTGGAGAGATGACTTGCTGCCAACCTGAGGACCTGAGGACCTGAGTTTGATTCTAGATTCCCATTGTAGAAGAAGAGAAACAACTCCAAAGTTGCCCTCTGACTTCCACACTGGCACTGGGGTAAGTGAATTTCCACTCACATGCACATACAACTAAAAAATATATAAATAAAAGTTTAGAAACAACCTCTGCACAAAGAAGTTGCTTTCCACTGGAAATGACTGTGTATGTTGAAATACATACATACATATATATATATATATACTCAAACATAGCAGCATACACAAAATGCAATATGAAAGTTGGCTAATTTGACTATCTTTCTATGTGTGTGTGAGTGGGTACAAGTAGCTCAACATTTTGTCTCTTTTTCATTAGCTCACACATCTTCCCCACTGTTATAAAGGAAAATGTAGACTAACTCTCTGGTCTGAGGAGAGCTCTCTTATTTTGTTCTAGATCCACACCTCTTCCTTAGATATACTAATTGATCAGTGTTGAACTGTATTTCCCAGCTCCCCTCTCTAAGCATCCCTGCCCCATCCACCTTCACATACATTTTGAACTTCCCTTCTCCTGTCTAATCACATGCCTTTTTGATCCTGTGATCTATTTACTTCCCTCTCTGGGGCTCCAAAGAGAAGAAAAGAAATCACAAGAAATGAACTTCATTAACCTTTTGACATCCTGCATTTCTGCTCTTTTTCTCCTTAAATATCCCAAGTCCTACTATTATTTTTCTGCTCTAACACTTTGGAAGCCTGCAGAGGCAAATGTTATCCATGGTAAGTTTCTCACAAAACTCCACGGACACCTTTCATTTCTCTGCCTTTAGACATATTTTTTTTTTCTTTCTGAAAATTCCTTCTCTGGAGTGTTATGAACTCCTGGTATTGCATCCCAGCTCTCAGAAGCACCTTTATATCTCTCCTTCATTGTTTCTCCTCACTCCACTTATCCTAGATGTTGATGATCTATTCTCGCATCTGGATGATTTCACTGCTTCCAAGTAATCACGTCTGTTCCTCCTGATAGTTCCCTGGGATACTTCTATAATGATAGGGCTAACTACTTATTTTGTATATCATGTTTAAAATGAATTCTCAACTCACCATGTCTTGTTCTCCCACCTAAAATATATCTACTTCTGAATGACTGTATTAGTTAGTATTCCAAGGAACCCTTAATTAGATAAGCAAAAAAATTTCATTAAGCCATCTTGTCTCTTCATTTTATGTCCATTCCCTAAAGCTAACCAGTATCCTCAATTAATTTTAAATTATGCCACCTGAATGTCTTTCTGTTGCATTTTATGGGGTGGCAGTAAAAGCAATTGGCCCTGTAAACCTGATGACCTAAGTTTGATCCCTGGAACCTACGGCTGCAGGAGAGAACTGATTCTTGAAAATTGACCTCTGACCTCCACATGCTTACTGTGCCAAGCATGTGCACATGTACACATACACACACAGTAATACTACATGAAAGTTTTGAAAGTATATTTTATTCTCTTTATTCCAATAAATGTCTTGGGATCCCAGTCTTATTTTGTCAATGAAAACTCCCCAATAATGTGAAATATGTGTCATAAGCTTAAGATAGCCATCTATATGAAATACCAATGTACAATAAGAACTTTAAAAGTTTTTTTTAGATTATATTTGATTTCACTGAGTTCTTTCTGGGCTTTAAAATTCTTTCAAGTTGTTGTTGAAATTGGAACAGTCAAGTATATACACACTAATCAAATTACCAGAAGGCTACCACTAATGAGCTGGCAAGATGGCTCAATGGGTAAAATTGCTTGTGGTCAAACATGATGTCCTGGGTTCAATCGCTAGAAACCATGTGATGCAAAGAGAGAACTTACTCACACAAGTTTTTCTCTGATCTACACACATACACACACACACACACACACACACACACACACACACACACACACACACACCGAATTAAAAAATAAGT